TATATATAATTTATACGGCGTTGTATAGAAGGCTATGTCGTAAAGCACAGAGAATGAAATTTTGGTAGTCCGCAATGAATTTATCTTGATTCCGCACTGTGAACGTCGAAAACAGTCACTAAGCTCTGTTCTATGAATGGTTGAGTGCGAGATGTGATTTGCATTGCTGGACAAAAAAAAACCAAAATTAATTTTTGGAGCGGGTTATTGTTCATGCATGAAAAATTCTACTTACAAAGCAGTTATGGCTGTTAGAACTGCCATATTATCATTTACATGGCAGTTCCAATAGCCGTAGCTGCTTTTTGGTATAAGAAATGATAATGTCGTGACGATATTTATCACTTAGGCAGAAGATTCGAGTATATCCATCATCAATCGAGCGAGATAGAATAAAACCATCTGAAGTTTAATGTATCTTCCTGGAGGAGGATGAAAGATGGAATTATTGATTATCAACAGTCAAAAATACGCTAGAGATAATAATACCTCGATCAAGTGCCGACATATATTATTTGTCCTTGTAAACAAATTTTCTGTCAACTCTAATTCGGACTCTGTTCGGGCGCTATTAGCTTTTTATTATCAGGCTCAAATGAACAGTAATAAAAGCACTACAATCCCAAAAATTATACATTATACAAACATGTACAGTGCTACGTGAGTTGGGTTAAAAAATGTTAATAAATATAAAACTACCTCAGAAAGTTTAAATAATGTGCACGATGAAATTCGACATCTGCTCCTAGAGCTAAATAAAACCCATGTCACGATCCTACTCAACTCATATAACAAATCCAAATTTATCAATATAAAGCTGCATCTATCTCAAGAAAAACAAAATTCATGAAACAGGCCATTTGACCAAAGAAAATGCCCTATCTAACGTACTATTCCATTTCGCACTGAACGACGAATAATTTTCCATCCATGGGAGCATCTGTAAAAGAAAAGAACAATGCAAACTATAAGAAACACAATTTCCACAAAAAAAGGAAAAAAAGCGAAGCTACCAGAAATAAATGTGTCTAGAAGTTAGACATATGTAGCAGCTTAATCCTGTAAACAATCATATAGAGATAATGACATAATTAGAATTCTTTTCAATTCAGTGTTAATGAATGAGAACCTCTTTCGGAAAAACAATGGTCCCTGGGACTACGGTTTCTTTTAAGACTGTAAGTTTCTGTGCTCCTTGATCCGAGTCTAAGGACCAAATATCAAGATGATAAGAGACTTTTAGCACTGCAATTACTGCACCAACTTTTATTCCAGTCCTGCAAACAATTAAAAACAGCAATATATCTACTTCAGAAAAAACAACTACTAGAAAAATCACAAATATAAATAAAATAGGAAAAATTATAGAAATTCCACTCATTTAATTTCAGACTTGTTATCAGTGTGAGTTGTACATCTTCATAAAATACAGCACAAACAGTGGGAAAAAAGTTGTGGCGCTTTTTTGATGTCAAAAGCATTATAAAAAGTTGATTTAAAAAGAAAGGGGCCATTTTAACACCTATCTCTTCAACTTCTAAAAGATGTCTGAGTATGGAGAGAGAAGTTGCTCAGTTAAATTCATTGCACCAGATGAATTAGATAAATCATTTTAAATAATACTTTATATTAGCACTCGCGTCCGAAAATAAGCAGTACAATTATCGAGGCAAATAATTGTATTCTCGTAGGTCTAACCTTTCTGCCATTGTAATTTCACGAAATCAAAGAATATGAAAATATTATTGATTTCAATATCAGTATTGCTAGATCCTTGAATGTTGATATTAAACAGATTTTGTTTGAAAAATGCAGCAAGACCTATACATTTTTCAAATTAAAAAAATAATAAAGTAATAAGACAATATCCCATAATCTCACAAATTATGATGACCCCTCTTTTTCCAATCAAATAGAATTTTACCAAAACTGTGCAGACAATTACATAGCTTTGAAGAAAAGTATTTTCTCCAGTTTTAGAATCTTTTTTTAATATAATTGCGTTACAACCTATAATGATGGAACACAAGCATTTGTAGATTACATCCTCTTAATGTTTGCATGAACTGTTCATATATATTCGCTAAGCATTCACATCGCATTAATTAAAAGGATTACTTAAGAAAAAATAATGTAGCAAAAAATTTATACCAAAGTAAATGATGTAGGTTACGGGATATGACCATTTCATATTTCTGATCCTTTAAATAATATTTTCTGATACTGAACTATTACAAATCTAGGAAATTGGATTCAAAAAGGTCTGCAAAAATGTTATGCTATATAACCATTATTTTAGCTGAATCAAACTATTTCAATTGAACCAAACTTTATTTTCATCACAAATATCCAATATTCTACGACTTTACATGGATAGATGATCTATAAATAAAAAATGATTGAAACAGTTATTTTCCTTGTCAATCTATTTATTCTCCACTGCAAGAAAATATTTCACCTAATATCATTACCGCCGATTCCCTAGACGTAAAAAATCCTTAACAACTAGCTTAACCTCAGTTAGTGCCCACAAGTAGAAGAAACTTCAGCATCAGATCTGCTATCACTAAGTATTTGATTGAACTAATAAAGCTTTGGTTGATCTTTCATCAAGGTTTCCTCGCTGAAAAGTTTTCATATCGATTCCTTCTCCTGCGCATAATCTGTAATCAATTGTCACGTGCATTGGATTCTTTCTTTGTAGGACAAGCATCAGTCAAAAACTTTCTCGAGCACTGAATTTGATTTTTAGCTTTCTTCTGTCGCACATCAGTTAACAAAACAATGTAAACAGAAGGTCCTCTTAGAACTATGATGTTTGAAAGATTAATTTTGGAATTACTTTTGCAACTACTAAAATAGCGTAATAGAAGAGTTCACTAATGTAAAGACTGAAATTCAACTTTTTACTCGCATCTACAATTTATCTAGTGGAATGTTCGAGATCATATAAAAGAAACAGATTAATTGACTTCATACTGTAGCAGGAGAGTCTACATACTTCAAGGTCAATTCAAATTCTTTCATCGATCATATACTTAACAGTGGAAGCTTTTAAAGTTATGTAAAGTTGGATTGTAATAATTTAACTACTCATGGTAAAAGTATTAACTTAAGTACTTTCTATCTCTTCTGCTCATTACAGAGAATAAAGAGGCAAGGCTTTCTAGTGCTATATGCTATCTGCTATATTAGAATGAGGAATGGAATTTGAAGCCTAAAATAACCCATCGCCAAAAAATTTCCATTCTATTCATATGGAAAATAAGTAGCATCAATCAATGTGATGAGGAAACGATACAAAGGAGAGAGATTTTGAGAAATTTTGCCAAGATTTTCATGCAAAACTTTCTTCAAATCATTAAACTTAGACAATTTGGTAGTATGTGCAGTAAATCACTGTACCAATTTCAAACTACTTTCTTGACCAGTGCAACTAGAGTGAGCCATCAGCAGTACGATACTCAAACAAAAATCAAACTCTGATATGCGCAATTAAATGACCATTTTGCCCTCTGTTCTCGAAGTATTCAACCATAGGAACAAAATAACTAAAAATAAAATTGAAGCAAACGAAATATTACATACCGTATCAATCGCCGGAAAATAGCCATTGTTTAGCACATCACACGATTATCGGACAAAATAATCCTTGAATAGTTTAAAGAAGTGAGTATGCAGCCTATTGAGGATAGAGCAACAAGAAGGATTGTTTAAGAAAACATAATGTCACATTCATGAATCCATCCATACAAATAGCACCTAAAATTCTCCATCATTTAGGCTGATAAAAAATTTCACATTCCTTGTGCATATGGATGGTATAGAGAAAAAATTAATGGCACGATAAAAATAGTATAGGAGGAAAAGAGGAAAGAGAAGAGAGAATGATATTTTCTTTTGATTTTCGCAACACATCGCTGAACCAACAGTGCACTGTTATTGATATCACTTGTAACAGTGAGGTTACGAGAAGGGGTTCTTGCTGGTTATTAACTGTCATAATGTTTTTTTTTTGCGCTCATACATAAAACAAGTCTTTTATTCTTCTTGAGATTAATATGAGATCGCTATACTTCCGAGCAAATAATTCATAAATATTTCAAGAGGGGAGATAGAGAGATTCCGGGTGAGGTTAAATGATAAAGCAGTGAATTAACACGTAAGAGAGATTGACTTTGATTATGGAGTATTGCAAAGTATGAATATTTGTTGAATATCATTGATAGACGGGAATCAGCACTTGCACTCAGGCTTTATTAATCATGCAAGGTAACCCGTTCCACTGATTCCTTTTTAGAGTTGGTTTCCTTTTGTAAAACTCGAAAATCATTTTTCCATATCCTACGTGCTTCTCTCTCATTACTTTTTAGCAATCATTTATGATAATTCAGTATTGATATTGAGTGGAGTATAATTCATTATTGGTATTGAATTAATAATCTATCGAGTGTGTATTGTATTGACAAGTTCACTGATAAGATTATGTTTACGAAATTGAAGGACTGATCAGAATTACGCAGAATCACGCATATTTTTGGTATTCCTCATTTTAACATTACTGATAATGACCGAGGATATATCTAAGGATGATTTGATTCAGTGGCAAAATTCATCAATTGATGATTTCGTTAAAAATCTGAAACGAATTAATGATAATTTTGAAGATTATCATGTATTTGGCCATATTGATGTCGATAATAGGGATTGGATACAAGCCATTTTCTGTGAGCGTTTTCAAGAATCATCAGCAATTCGTCAACAAATCCTTCGCTTTTTGCGAATTTTAGCGCGCGATAGACAGAATTTGGATCGGTTGTTGTCTTGCATCTTGGTACAGAATGTACTTGGCGTTGGCCTCTTGGCTGAGCAGTCTTTTGAATTTGATTGGGAGTCATTCATCCAGGCTGAAATGTGTCTCGTAAATATACTCTTCAACAGTAACCGTGCGAGAGACGAGTTTAATGGAATTGCTTCAAATCTGCTACTTAATCGAATTAGATTGTTGATCGAAACCCCGAGAAGTTCCTCTCCGCAGCAGAACACTAATGAAACCTCAATTACTTTTCAAGATACTGCCGTTTCTACAAAATCAAAAATTTTTGAATTCCCAGTTAAAATTCTGAGTAATGAACAAATAGATTTGGTTACTTTTTACGATCTCCGTATTGCATTTGTTGCAAGCGCACAATCTAAAGATTTACAGCTGCAATGGTTAAAAAATGGATGTGAAGTTTTCCTGAAAGTACTGGAAAAAAGTTTGCATTCTCCGGAACGACTGAAACAAAATTCGCATCGGAGTAGTTTTGTAGAACACACCAATTGGGCGTTGAAAGTTTTGTTTAATATATTTTGCTATTCATGGGATGATTCTGCAGAGTCAAATGCAAAGCGATGCATGTCATTATGCGCAAAAATTGTCATATTAGAAAATGTTGACCCATCGCTTGAGCAATCCGCGGTAGATGTAATTGCGGTATTGCCACTATCATACGAATGGTTAACACCGAAATTACAGCACACGGAGATAGAGAATTACGCAAATGTAGTCCATGGCGGACATGACATGACTTTTGCGGATGCTGTACTTCATGCGTTAGAACGACGACTGGAAGAGGAAAATAACGAAAGAAACGAGCTCCTTGGCACATTTTTAACCGTTTTGATACGTCTAAGTTCTCAGGTGAAAGAGGCACGACGTTATTTACGTTTATTGGTTATTCCACCACTTCATGCTACCGATGTTGAACGACGGCCGGATGATGGTGCTGAATTGCGTAATCGTATGATACGGTTGATGATGAGCATTTCGAATACTCAAGACTTGGCAGCTGAATTCATTTTCATTTTGTGCAAAAAAAGTGTTAATCGTTTCGTGAAATATTGTGGTTTTGGGCATGCAGCTGGTTTGTTGGCTAATCGCGGCATCTTAAATGCTTTAAATATCCCGAAACATCAATCGGATAGCGAAGCTTCAGAAACAGAAGATTATAAAGCAGTTGAAACACAGGTAAATCCAGTAACTGGTTGCATTGAACCTGTGGGAGAAAGTCCGTTCACTGGGATGACCGAGGAACAAAAAGAGTACGAGATGCATCGCTTGATGAATGATATTAATAAGCTGATGAATCAAGGACTGATAACTCCAGGTCAGATCGGAAAAGATGGGCAATTAGCGCCCGTAAAACATGTGCTGGAACTCGTCAAGGACTGTGATGCGGAACCTGATAAAAGTGATAGCGAAGGTGATGTTGGATCCTAACTCATCGAATTGAGATCCATTCATTATTTGTCTATCTTATCAATTATGGATAATTTGGATTACAAATTTCTAACTTTAGCTTGCGTAGAAAATCAGTGATATGCGCTTATAATGATACGAAAAGTGTTTCAAGATTTTATACAGCACATTTTCAGTGATTTTAACCTAAAAACTCGTTTGAATTTTCATCTTAAATTTTTATTTGAAGTATTTCTACTTGTACATATTATTTACATCTCCAAAAATATAATATTATTAGGTTGAAACTTTCTTCTGCAAGAGAATTTTATTTATATACTTTCTATGTTGTGATATGATTTCAACTTATTTTTGTGATTCATGCTGTTTCTTTGAACTCGTTAAATTTGTGCAGCTTTCGTTTTTTGTATTTGTTAGATGTTTTCATGATATTAGTGTTTCGTAATAAATGTTTCAGATTGTGGAAAGCTTATTTTTAACGTTGCTTTTGCATGTTCAAAGTGTCAACTAATAAGGAGAAAAGAAAATTGAAAAAACTGAGAAAGAATATCAATGAGGTGATGTTACTTTCTGGTAATGATCCTACAGCAGTGGATCTAACATCACTGACGTTCAGTGGGGACTCATTTGATGGTCGGTAGTTTTGTCATCTCATGTTGCCTTTTTAATGAATTTCTTCGTTATTCAGCATTCATGTGAAAGCGTTCATATGAGAGACGTATTTCCAGCCCTATTCATATAAAATATCAGTTCTTTGGTAACGTCGCTCGGAATAGATGTATCTTTCAACGAAATTTAAAAATATTGTTTCAGATAAGGAAATTTCTTTGAAACTTCATGAAAAACTACGGACCATGCGACGTTTGAAAGATCCGCCAAAAATCAATCTTAATTTAAATAGGCTAAACGGTATGAGGCTTGGAAGTCGAAGTAAGTTTTCCTTAATTCTGCACGCTTCACATATATTGTAATGTGTCGACTAAAATTTCGTATGATAATGAATATATTCGTAGATATCGCCGAATTAGTGCATTACGTATCATTTCACAATATTGACAAACCTCTTTGGATATCATTAATACCGAATCGTGGAATATTACAAGCAGTCGTTTTTCGAATCGAGTGTAATCTTGAAACAGTAGTAAGTTGTTTCCGAAAAATTAAATATTGTGTTTCCTACTCACTATGCTGGTAACTTATGATTTTTTTTGTATATATGGTTAAGTGGGAAATTGTAATTTCAATATATAACGTTTAAGACGTTTCTCAGGAATGTAATAAGAAAGGTACATATATCGATCAACTCTTCGGCTCAAAATTTTTTATCAGAATGCAGACGGAAGTTTGGAACAGTATGGGGTTTTGGACGGGCATGCTTAATATTCCGTTTTCAAAGTTTGAACGTTTAAAGAGAATTGTCGACGTAAGTTTTGAGAAGTTTTTGAATTGAATTTATTTAATCCACAGTTATTGTTTGTGTTTTTCTTTTTTCACTCACAATGTTTAGTAAGCGGGAAATAAAATGTCTTATTTTGACTTTTGATCATTTTACATAACTGATAAGAATGTGCACTACATCCGAATTTGAACAATAAATTTTTTCCCATTTCTTTTTATGCTAATATTTAACAGTTCAATTTTTCCAAAGATATTCATTTTTTCAGCATGCTAATGTTCTAGAAGAATATATTAAATGTGATGTGAAAGGTGCAATATTGGTTACTTTGCGACAAATGGTAGATTTTTGTTATCCTTTTCCCAAAACAAATTTCGAGGTCTTGACACCTGTTATACCAATAAAAGTAAGATTTGACCTTGTACTTCAGACTTCCATATTTCATAAAGCAGTTGTAGGCTTATGAAAGGTATTCCTTGATTGGATTCTTATTTTATCACAACCGTTCTAATTCCATTTAATATTGCCTTATCATTTCAGGAGAAATATGGTGCAGTGAAGGCTGATTCTCCGTTCTTTGCAGTTGATTGTGAAATGTGTACCACAGAAACCGGTGAAAGTGAATTAACCAGGATATCGATTGTGTGTTTAAATTGGCGTAGTTTATTAACATTTAACGAGGAAATGAAAATTTTTAATTTTTTCAATAGAATATACTATTCGTTTCATTCAGGTCAACGAGTGTTACGAAGTTTTGTTGGACACACTTGTGAAACCACGAAATAGGATAGTTGATTATGTTACGAAGTACAGTGGTATTACTGAGGAAATGCTTGAAAATGTAAATGTGCGAGTTGAGGATGTGCAAGTCGGTTCCTTTCTCTTCATATTCTTAAAGCGGAGTTTCATTACTGTAATAATACATCATTCGGCTAATGAACAAGCAGTATATTTCAAATTAACTCTCATATGAAGAATTTCATATGCAATTAGTGGTTCTCATATCTGTAGAAAGCACATCAGTTCATTTTTTATACATCCGCAACTTTTGCTTACAGCATGCATTCGCTATGATAGTATTGGAATCCCTCTGTTTTAAAATCTCTTCCACCTACTATTCAACTTTGGAGTCTGGTAGAGCTTGTCAACATAAGGCTTCGTGATAGTTAAGACTGCAAAAATTTCCATTTTTTTGCATGTTTTTGCAAAAAAAAAAACATATGTTTAAAATCAGTTATATTTTATCTGTGACTGAATATTGCTTTGTTGCTTTTATTGCTTTTGTTATCTCCCTTTATCAAATACTTTAGGCATCAAAAATGTGTGAATCCAAATAGCATATTTTCAGAAAGCTTTATCACACATTTTGCCTAATGATGCAATTTTGGTTGGGCATACTCTTGAATGTGATTTCAATGCAATGCGTATCACACATCCATATTGTGTCGATATCTCTCTTTGTTTAAATTTATCTGGTAAAGAGCGGCAGCGATCATCTCTAAAGGTAATTTCCTGTTCAAATTTTATGAGGATATTTTTCATTTTTTTTTCATTTTTTTTTTTAATTACCATAACCATTTAACTGTTATGATAATAGTATCTCATGTGAAATTTCCCATTTTATTTTTGTTTCTTTACATTGGTTTCTAAAATCTGTTAATAATTGTTTTTGATAACATGCAGAAACTAAACATATGAATATGAAAATTCTTTAAAATTCTGTAGCTCAATAGCTATTTTATGCAAGGGACATTTAAAATTTATATGATTCATTTTACGAGCATTTTCTATAAGATAGACATATTGATTTATAGACATTGGCGAGAATATTTTTGGATGAAGAAATTCAAAGAGAGAATGGACACTGTTCTGTCGACGATGCTGTTATTGCTATGCGATTACTGAAATACAAACTCTCTCACGGGTGACTATTATACTATGGTTATATGTTGAAGTTCTGTTGCGATGCTGTTGAAATCAAGTTTCAAGTTTCTACTAGTTGTTTATTATATATTTTACAAATAAAAAATATTTAGAGTTCATTTTGGAAATGTTTCTTTGGGATGGAGTTTTGATGATTGGGCTCGCGAAAATGGCTTAACCAGCTCTGGAGCGCGCATTGGAAAAAGCAAAAATTTGTGTTCGGAAGCTGATGCTAGTCAAGAACCACAACGGAAAAAACGATGCGTGGATGTTATTTTTTTAAACTATATTGTCATATTTCGTTTATTTTTAGAAATCAACTTCTTGGAAGTCATTTTGAAAAATTAACTATTATGCTTTTTTTCGGCCTAGTAGATTTCCAGGATTATCAATTCAGAAAAGGTTCAGCTTTCTTTGTTTTTCAGAGTACTATAAATATTTTTAAGTCAGAAAGCAATTAATTAGGATTCATTTTAGTTTGCTGCTAAATGAAAATAAAAATAGCTATTTACAGAAAAATATAATACGGACCTGTAGCAGATGTGGTAGGGCATTATCTGTTGCTTGCATTGTACCTTATTGTGCGTGCAAGAAAAATGTCGTAAAATATTGCGTAATATGTTGTTTAAATTCTGTATCGCCTCAAACATCAAGCGAAGAACCAACTTTGAATTGGAGGTAAGTTCTCTCACTTTTATTAATTTAAACTTGCTAATCTGCAGAACAGCAGTTCCAGAAATAAATTTCTATTTTAGAAGAAATTTTACGTTCTTTAGCCGTGAGTCATCTACCTTACGATTTACATTTCAATACAATTGTCCACTTATGGAATTATTTTCCTGTTTGAAAAATATTTTAATGATTTTTTCAGTGATGCATTCCAAACTTCTGCTGGTGGATGTGTACCTATTTTGCATTTCTTACAACTTGGCAAACCCAAAAGTGCTTTTTATGCCATCCCTGAGGGCATCAAGGATAACGCAAATAATGAACAGTTTGTTTTATATTTTCAAAAACTAGTATTTCACGTTAAGCTTTCCATTGCAAATGTCAAGAAAAAAACTTTTCTTCAAAGAAGCTGCTAATCATACGTATTGGCAACTTCTTTGCAGAAAGCTTGACGCATAAATTGAAACTTGAAATTTACAAAAACACATTTATTTTTAAGCGAGATTTATATTAACACGAATGATTACGATTCACTGGACGATTTGGTGAAGCGTGTTAGTGAAGAAATGATTTCACATAATATTGTCATGGTAGATATTGATACGCGAAGATTGAAAATGAAAGTAGATGCGAAACCTATCGTAGCTATTGATAATGCTCTTCGAGAAATGATCTCATACGCTTCTTGGAATTCTTTAATTATTGTTATTTTCTCATCTTCACAAGAATCAGTATGCTACATAACTGTGAAAACCCAAAATCATCGGGATCTTTTGACAGATATTGAGTGATACTTGTTTTGATTTCGTTTATCAGCTACAGTTTTGTTGTCTTTTACAATAAAAAATTCTTTGTTTATTTTTTGTTTTTCACCATTTTGGATATGAACACCTAATTTGAAGTAATTATCTTTTCCGTCTGGTGTGTTTTTCATAAACTCATCAAGATCATATTTTTTAAGAGAAGCGGTAAGGGTAGCAATAGCACCAGTTCTTTTTAAGTTTGTTCTTTATTTAGTTTCGAGTGGTAATGTGGGAATTCCTAGCAGTATTTTTTTTAACAGTTTTTTTGTCTGTCTAGATGTTAAGACTATAAAATTTTGTGTAGTAAGCGTAAAACTAATATTAAGTGAATTTATGTTATGAATCGATAAAATTACTAGTCCTTGATATTTGTAGTTATATATAACAGGTAAAGACAAATTTTAGATTCATCAACTGGCATTTGCTAGCACGATTTTATTTGCTAACCATGTTTAGTGATAAGAATTCGCTGCTATGAAAAAGTTCGAATATTTTGTCATCCCATTGCTATAGCTGAGGAATTACTGCTTGAAACAGACAAGAAGCAAGAGTAATTATCTTCGTTTTCAGTGCTCTCTCTCTAGCCTGTTGCTGACTGAGTCCCTTGGGATGTTATGTAGAGGTGTCGCTGCTTGGAGCAATTTACACTGCAGCAGGCCTTTTGCAATAATCTTCCTCCAGGAATCTACATTACCTCTGAAAGATGACAAGAGAAAAGTAGTTTTGATTGATCCATTGTGTGGAAAATTCAAATAATGAAACACAGTTGTTTTATTGCAGTTTCTTAAATTGGGCATGTGGGGGTGGAATTTTTTGTATAAATTCTTCAGAGTACATTTCAGTCGGTAGCGGAAGTACAAGGTAAATTGCAAGACAAAGTGCGTTCACTGTTTCGCAGGGGCGTTGTCGAACCGAATAACCTTAGTTATCCGAATAAATATATGAGACCTGATTTTGATCCTCAGGCAGAACTCAAGGATATTGTCATGGAAATGCCTAGCTTTTTGTGGAACAGTTCTGTGGTTAGTTCTGGAAACAGACTCATAGATTTTCTTTCACTGTTTTGATAAAGTGCAGAATAGAATTAGAGCAAAATAGAGCGAGCTTTATTATTTTAAATTCCAATTCGAAGTTAAACACAAGCTTTAACTACTTTGATATTAATGCTGTGGTTGCTTTAGCACTTACAACATTCCGTTTCTATACTTGCGACACGGCTAAGAAGATAACGTTTTCTAATCATACCGAGCTTTGAAATGCATTGCTCAGTATTTAAGCTTTTATCGATTTTAAAATTAATTTTCCTCTATTCAGGAAGTAATTAAAGAAATAAAAGGTAATTTTGGAATCTACAAGCCAAATATCCTTGAAGATTTGGGCAATCTCCGACATGGCCAGTTTCGAAAGGATATCTTGTTCAAAACGCCAGAGGTAGTCATTTCAGTTTAATATTGTCTTATTATGCGTGATAATTGAAGCATTTATGTAAAGCACCACTTTGTTATTCGTAAATGAAGGCATGTACAATGAGAGATTGGATTTAACGTAAATGTTCTTCAGTCATTTAAATTTTGGCGGTGTGGCGCTGATTCGGATAGTAATGAAGGATTTTCAAAATGTGAATTTATACCTACCGACCGGAAAACGGCATTATTCAGAGGTACATTAAGCACAGAGCTAATAAAGGTTATTTGATGCATTTTTTTGAAATTCATTTGTTAATTAAAAGTTCCGATATTTATACACTTTGGCATTTTGAGTGAACATTTAAGATTGCAATGTCATTTTTTTTAAGGATGGACGAATTGAACGGGCAGGATGGGCAGCTATTAAATTCGAAGAAAGGGGACCCTTTTTCAAAAAAAAATATTTCAGTAAATGGTCAAATTATTCTCATTTCCTTATAAAGGTAGGATTATTCTTCAAATTATGTTTATACGAATTATTTGAGTCCTTGAAAGTTTTCTTAAACCATTCCTGAAATTTTTCGTACGTCATATTGTTGTTTAAGATGCTAAGGAAAAATCTTTTCTTACTTTACTAAATCCTTTGTAATCTTTGCAAATGCAATTATAGAAAATTTACGTTCCAGTGCCGTGGTGATGGGCGTACCTATAAAATTTCTTTGAATTCACCGCTTTTGTTTGATATTAGCTGGGGTGATGCTCACAGTTATTATTTGCATACTCATGGAGGGCCCTATTGGCAGTACGAAACAATTCCCTTCTCGAAGTTTATCCATACTGTACGCAATCGAATCATGGATAAGCAATATCCAATAAAAAATATTAATGTCAGGTATGAAATAATAATTTATGTTGCAGAAAAAGAATTGGGCTGAAAATTAAAAAAATATGAAAGAAAACATTAGTTGCTATCGCTATCGTTGTTATTGTTACTATCATTATAGTTATTGCTAGTATTGTTGCTATTATTGATAAACATAGTTTCTCGACCCATCTTGTGTTCTAACATGTGCAGTTTTCAGAATCTTTTAACTCACTATTCTTCTGTTATTCTGTTCATCCTAGTTGTCTTTAGATACTTTTCCAAATGCTACTGCTTTTTTTTCTACGTTGATTTTCCTGGTCAAATCTCTACTCATCATATTTGATTTTTTACATAACTTAAAAATCGAATGTGTTAATCTGCTTATTATAGTTTTTATTCATAAGGTAATTGGCAAATAATTTTAGAAATTTTCGAAACTTCAAACTTCACAGTTTCCTTTTCAAGAATCGAAGTTATTTTTGCACTCAATGTTAATACTTCTGTTATACTCAGCATCTTAATTTCAGCTCATTAATTATAATGTTGATGGATAGAATTGATGGAGATTTTTCGCTTGAAATTGATTACATTGGTGTGGTACATGATAGGAGTCATCTAGAGGAACATTCTTATGAAGCTTATCAATTGCCGATATTATTCACTGAAGGCACATAGACTTCTTGGGAATTTTAGCTTACTCATGCTTTTCACCTATAATGTATTGTTAATTGTATATATTTTTGTTGGCGAATGGAAGCTTGTAGTTTTTCCCTTTTTTAAATATTTTTGTTGGCGAACGCAAGCTTGTAGTTTTCCTTTTTCTAAACATCTACTTTGTATATATCTATACTGTTTCTACATAGCCTCAAGTTCATATATATAACAAATTTGTGAGTTTTAAAGATTCACGGAGTGATTAATGGAATAGGTAGGGAATTAAAAATTATGGGCTCTTATCGTTGTAAGACTATGCTCATAAATGCTTCTTTAGTTCATGCGAAAGGTTATTTTTCTTCGGTTATCAACCTCGTATACAGTATTGTTGTATTTTATGCAGACAGTTTCGAAAAGGACATTGATTTTTTGATGGATTAGTATTGTTTTAAGTCGAAAAAAAGAAAAGGATGCAATATTCGTTAATTTTTGCATTTTTTAGCGAAAGTTTGACAAAGGTCCATAATAATAAGTTGTGAATAAATTCGCTGAGTAGTTATTGGATGCATGTGGGACGGTGGACTTTGATAAGAGTATTTTCGACAGATTTTCCTACGGCACGGACACCAGCTCGTGTCATATTGAAGAACGTCAGTTGGTTCACTGGTGAAAGTTTGTTGTCTTGTAATTTAAAGTCATTACTTGTAATATAAAATCATTATTTGAAAATTATTCGTAATCGAATGTTTAGAGAAAGGTAAAGTTCTGAGTTTTAAGGCAGTTATTTGTCATTATGTCTCAAGGTTCGTTTTGCTTAATCTGAAGATGTTAAAGTGTGGTTTTGAAGATTTATTTTATTTATAGAAGATTTGAAATTCCATTTTGGTCGTTTTGGAAAAGTGCAACACGTCAAGCTGTTATATGTTAGTTTCGATTTTTTTTTTCTGCTATAACAACTGAAAATTAAGTGCGTGTTTTAACATAACTAAGGACAAAGACTTCATTAGTTGAGCTTACAGGATTGGGAAACAGGTTTGCACAGGGGTTTTGCGTTTGTTGTTTTTGAGAGCATTGACGACGCAGTAAAGGCTGTACAACAACGAAATCATTATATTAACGGACGACAAGTTAGCCCTTCTTTTTCGACTGCTTCAAAGACTGTTATCTTGTCGAGCAAAATTTTGCAGTAAATATACATCGATCTTTTTAAATTATTATTTATATACTTTTATATTGCAATTCTATTTCAGGTAATTGCGAAGATTGCAATACCTAGTCCTAGAAAACAACAAAAGTAGAAGTTATTTATTACGTTTCTCTGTATCGACTGCAGATAAATGGCGACACGTTTAGTTCGAAGATCTGTTGCGGCTCTTAAAACTTTTAAAAGAGCACGGCAGAACGGTGTGGAACTTTTCGTTAAAAGGATCAGCTGGGTCACAGGTGCATGTAAGTTACCACTATAGATTTGTTTTTGTTAAATATAATTTTATCATTTACGTATATTTACCACTTAATCTTAATTTCGTATTAAACTCCTTCAAATATTTTTGTTTCAGCGGAACTGATGAACCATTTCTCTCAGTTTGGTAAAGTCAGAAACATTACACTGCCATTTGTAAGTTCTTTTTTTTAAATGCATCCTTTTATTTAATTCTTTCTCACACCATTTGCTATTTCATTGATCAGTTGTGATCAAACGATCTTCTGCCAGAATCGGAGCGGCATGCATCAAACTTTATGGTTATTTACTTTTATTTGAGTTATTATATAACATATCAAATATTCATTGTAAAAATCTGAATTTATGAGTAGTATGCGGTAAAATATATTTCAGGATTTAACAACAGGTCTGCACAAGGGTTTTGCGTTTATTTTATTTGAAAATGATGGTTTCTATGAAAATATCAAGAAGTTCGAAGGGAAACACATTATTGACGATGAAGAAGTAATTTGTTCACTAGCAGATGAAGGAAAGCCATTGTTATTGGCTGATGCCCATGTGATACTATTTGGCAGCGAAAATAGTTCTAAAATGGATATTTCGAATGCAAATCGCGGCAGTGAAATTGGAGGAGTTGAATTCATTAAGACCGAGACAAATATTAAAGGGAAGGAAATAAAACGTGAAGCTAATCCGAAAATAATTTCAACAAACAATATGGATTTTCAAGATTCCAAAGAACAGTCAAAAGAAGCAAATTTGTTGCAAAAACTGCAAGAAATTGACGATTCGAAAAAGAAACTCGGAAAAAATACTCAGTTCGAAAAGACTACTATTACGAAGCTCACGGATTTGGTAAGTGAAAATGAAGGCAACAACAAAATGTATATGAAAACTTACACCAATATGCGTCCTTCGAACGATTTGCATGGAAATGTTACAAGGAATGGCTTCAGTGGCGGGATTAGTTCGTCAAATAGAAGTTTTAGAATTCCGACAATTAAAACTACGAATCAAAAATATTTAAAAAAGGGATTGAATTCGGACCAAGTATAGAGAGCTCAGATAGTTCTTTTAACCATTCAGCCCTCAAGGAAGTAAAAGGACACAAATTCAAGTATATAAGCTCATGAGAAATCTTTCGGCAGTTGTGGATCATCATATGTGTTTATATTAGGGGAATGTTGACTCGTGAAAAAATTTAAGATTTTCGAAAATAAATTATTTTTTGATTTTTTCCATCTCTTTGCGCAATATTTCAAGTCCTAAAAACTTTCACTATTTTAGAATTTCACTCGGTTAAGTTCATAGTAAATTTCGAAATAAATAATGGACGAGCTTGATTACGAAAATGTGGAACAGAGAAGAGAAAGTTCAAAATTTTTCTTTTGTCTTTTTAAATTGAATTTTTCAATTCTACTCCCTCAGTAACACATTTTCTATTACGTGTGGGTAAAATTTGGTTAATCATTGAGTGCACCTGAAGCAAATTACATGCTGTTTTGCATCCTTCACTATAATTTTGCCATAAACAACAAAGTTGTAGCGGCACCATAACTTTTTTTGATCATTATTTTGGTTGCATAATATGCATGGGAAAGTGATTCTTTTCATGTATTTTCATTTCTTGTGTAGGACATAAACTTTGTCAAATTACGCTTAGCTTTACAGTTACAGTTTTTGACGTCGAAAAATGCGGTAGATAAAAATTTAGTATTTATATCTTTTGTATTACTTTTCTGACTTTAGTAGAGAATCAGAAGAGAACAGAAAATTATCTGGCCAAAATCTTTATTATTCGATGTTGGAGGGTTTAATTTTCAATCTAATATTTCAATTTTTTTATATTAAAGCAATGCGGTGATCTGATGCAAAAGCTTTTTACTAAGTATTTTTTCTTAAATCTTAATTTTCGTCGGTGCTTGACGATAGTTCGAGATATGCTTCGCTTTCCGGTATTTTCAAAAATGGAAAAAATAGTAAAGTTTTGAAGCTTCGATTATTCTTACCAATGAAACAAGATGACAGAAGTACAGATTATTCCTGCACGTCACGCGTCCTGTCCATATCAGCAAAGCATTGTTCAGTACATTTAAACGGACATATCACGCACATTTATGTAAAAATCCATTTTCGCTCAGACAAAACATTATACATTATGTATTCGTATATCAAGAGATAGTCGGCTTGATAAGTGGAAATTTGGTACATATATTTATTTTTCGGTAGATCAGAAATTACAATGAAGTCTTAGCCAATTGACTTAAAACCAGTTTTCTGGAACACTCCAAAAAGGGTTCATCAGACTTTGCAATCAAAAATTGTGCAAAATACAGTCATATATAGTCAAGTAATGTAATGTAAGTAATAATTAACTAAATTTAAGCGATAATAATTAACTGAAACTCAGACTTCCCATATTTTACATGTCAGTTACATTATCTTTAACTACATCTATCATTGTCCAAAAATCGTCAATGCTACACTAAAAATTGTGATGACAGAGCAGGTGATTAAGGTCTTCAATGCATGATTATCATGCGTTATCACATCGAAGACTACACTGAGAGTAGAGCAGACCTCTTCCAAAAATTGAAATTAATCGTTGTCACTAAATAAATTCTCATAGTAGTAAAATGAAGATACATTTTGCACACATATGTTTATCTAAAAAAAAGGGAAGAAGCTTTGAAATGATGATTTAGCAGACTGATATGGCCATCATAGGGATGGGTACCAAAATGGAACAACAAATATTTTTCACTGCGCAGTACGTGGCGGGACGAAATGGAATGTGCACTCGTCTGCATTGTTGAAAATGGCCTTTTACTGAATTCATGATCACTTTTTTCTCCCAAATATAAACAAATACCACAGATCGTCATCGTTGCCGTTACTATCATCGCACTCATCGTCACTAGCCCAATCCCATTTTGGAATTCTCGAACACTCGACTATCATCAATCGACAGTTCAGCCTCTGTATATATTTTTTTCTAATTTGCCGTTTCAATATTTAAAATTTCTTCATCTTAATATACTATCAGCTCTATCTGTTTTTATGCACCCAATTTTTGTCTTTCCAAACTAATTTAATTTTAATTTTAATTTTTGACTAAATTATCTTTCGAAAATATTAAATTTTATTTTGATTTTTTTGGTAATTTTCAAGTTTATAGTTGCAAAACATTTTAAAAATGTTTAACTAATTGCATTCCAAATTCAAGTGCTCTAATTTAAAGCTTTTATAGGAAGCATAAATGATCAAGAATTATTTGTTTAGGAAAAAGTAACAAGGAAAGCTCGGAAACCACATAATAAAACAAATGTCTTAAGTATTTTATTCCACAACTAGAAAAATAAAATCTACAAATATTCAAGTAGAGATAGATAGATAGACATTCATGGATTTGATAGTGCAAAATAAATTATCAATTCAGAATAAAAATTGTTTGAAATACTCAATTTTGTCTTCTTTGACCCATTAAAAGAAAGTATTTCTAAATAATCAGTGATTATTCAGAATTTCTTAGTGATAAGAATATCCTATTGATATAATCATTTTATTATAACCAAATCGATTTGACAGTTTTTCAAAAATTATTGGTTGAAATTTTGAAAAGTAAATAAAAGCCAAAATATTTATTTTTGACTTATTTTTGTAGGGCTTTCAGTTGAGAAGCTATAACAGTAAATGCATCTATCCCTTCACCGCCTCCTCTTTCCTCTCTCCAGTTTAAGTTGAATGTAAAATTGGCGTAGGCATCTTCAACTTTACAAATGAAGCTTCTATTTGTTATGTATGTATGTGTGTGTATGGATGTGTGTGGTTGTGCTTGTGCTTGGCATTGATGACGACAGTAGTCAAAAGTTAGTTTAGTTAATAGTTCTTGCTTTCCTCTTACCCTCTTATAGTTTTGCTACTGCTTCAAACTGCAATGTTGTTTAGCTTGAATATGGCTTGAACTGGAAGAGGAGGAGGAGGAGGAGGAGGAGGTGGTGGAGGTGGAGGAAAGTGAAGAAAGGCGGAGGAAATTTGAAAAATCACAAAATGTTCCACCCTTTCTCCTAAATCTCTCTCTTTTGCTCATCCTCTTCTCTCTGTACTTCTTGAGCGGCTTTACCAAGTACGTTTGCTGGCTAAAGAACGAGTTGTATGTAGCAATAGCAGCTTGAACTTATTAACTCCCTTCCTTCTCTCCTTCTCCTTCAACACACATACAATTCTTAAAATTCACATTTTCAAAATCTGCTATTATCTACCTATCCGTTCATCTATCTATCTATCTAACTATAACTGTTCTAGATGGATCTAAAATGTGTAGTTAAGTTCAAGAGCTATGAAGTGAAGTGAAGTGAAATGGTGCTATCTTGTCTAAATCTGGATAGATAGCATATGTATTCATTAAGAGTATAGCAAGCGCTTTCTGGAAAGAACCAATTTCTTTCATTTCATTTTTTTTGTGTAGCATATAAAGCTTACTGACTCTTCTTGTCCCACAAAATTCTCTCTCTCTATCTTTCTCCCTCTTCTTTTTCTTCTTTATTTTCACAATATCACTTTTAAGTTTTTGACCTTCTCGGGTTATACTATTTTTTCTGAGTTAAACTTTAATATAAGTTCAACTCAGTTTTTTTTAAGTTGGAAATATTCGATATATTGATTGATACAGACGCGATAAAACAATATATCTGTGTTTGCTGACTATGAGCATGGTCCCTGGTGAGACGTGCTTCAATTTAAATTTCACTAATCCTGGATCTAATTCACCATGTCAATCGTTACTTCTAACACCCAAAGAAACGGTATGTGATTTATTTTCCTTTCATCAATTCATGAATTATTTTTGTTGAAGTTTATTTCTTGAATAATTATTATGTTTTTTTTAACGTTTGATTATTCTTGAAATACTGAGTGATATGATAAGAATTCGTGATAAGATAAGAAATATGAAAATCCCATGGATATTAATGTATCGCTTAATTAAATATGTTTTGCAAATTAATTTAAATTTTTAAAATTGCAAGTGAAGTTCGTACTAGTCACTTTTTTTGGCAGTGAAAATTGATCACAACAAGTAAAATTGTAACGAAAATTTTGATCTACTAGATTTTTCCTTACTCTAAAACTAATGAATGACAGGAATGACCTTATCAAAAATTTCATTCCTTTTTTTGCATAATTCTGGGAACGACTGAGGAGTTTTCGAATTGTTCATTCAAAACTTACAATTTGTAATTTTCATTTATAAATTTGAAATGCACCTCCGTAGACTTTCATTTTTATTTTTAATTTTGAATTAAATCAGAAAAGTTACATTTTGATATTAGAAGATAGCTTTAAGTTAAAGGGGGAATAAAAGTTGAACGAAACGATAGATAGATACCATTCCCTTTTCCAGTTCATAAAAGCATACAAAAATATTTATTACTACTTGAGTAAAATAATTTAAAAATATTATCGTGAAAAGTTATATTTAAATCAGACAAATTTCGCAGTAAATTTCAAACTGTAAAACAGCAGCAATGCCAGTTTAATTCAAATTCCATTTATGTAAGAAATTTATCATCGACTTTGATGATTCACAAGTGGAGCGGAGAGATGCAAAGAAAAATTGTTTTCTGAGCTGCGAGCTGTTATCTGTATGAATGGATATACCTGTCAGATTGTAATAAAACTTGTAAATATCCAACAGAGAATAGACCAAAAATTATGGTCAACAAGAAATTTGTGACAGTATTTTTTAAATATATTGTTGACGTTATGAATTACTCATGCAATGAATGAAAAAAAACAACATAAAATTGAAATTACTGAAAAATGTGCAAGTTAATGTAAAACGCTTGTGATATGATAATATGTTGATAAGATCGTAAATTAGAAAAACTTTTCGATAAGTTGAACAATATTTTCCCAAATTTAAGAGAATTAATCGTAAGAAATTCTTGCTTCAATCATAATTCATCATTGTTATTTCGTTTTACAAATTTTTATTTTAAGATTTTTTCATCTTTAATAATTGCAGCAAAATAAATTTAAAATTCGACTTTCCGTTGCATAGTTTTCAGCAAATAGCTATTGTCAGTTATTTTTTGTCGCGCTGTTTCATAACTTTGCCTGGGAATATTCACCATTAAAAGAAATAATTTATTTTTCTATCAGATTCGCTGAGGTAATTTTCTTGCTCATACGACGGGTTTTTTTGAAGTGGGAGGAAACTTAAATTGATTAACATAAAATTATGTTTAATTTCAACATTTGCATAACAATGTGAATTTCTGCTTAATTACTAACCAGAAATAAAATTGTTCTTTAATTCCAAGTTCTGTACTATATGATAAGTTTCGTATGAATAAAAAGTATAAGAATTTTAATCGTATTTGAGGCTTTCATAAAACTTAGCACTTGTTTCAGTAGGGTTGCAACATTACACTTCATTTAGTTTGATATAAAACAATTCTCAAAACTTATGCTCCCAAAAATGAAATCATTTCTGATTTCGTTTATTTTTTTAAATTTATTATCTAAAAATTTTTTAATTTCGAAATATTTTTTGATAAGATAAATTTAAATTAAATTTACACTCCTACCCGTTCCTATCTTCTTCGTTGTTTCCATTGCTTCCATTCTAGTAACTCTGACTATTTCTAGTAAATTCTTCTTTGCTATACTTGCCTGATATAATCAATTTGTTTAAAAGATAAAAGCATTGATGAGAGATTTCGTTCATTTCATACTTTTGCGAATATTTTCTTTTTTCTATTAGCGACAGCTATTAAATAATTTGTATTTTGTTCATATATAATAAACTCAAACATTTTTGGTAGTAAAAATTAATTTTAGGTCATCCATTTGGGAACAAGTTATTTACACGCAGTAGTGATGATGTCAGTTTAAAATAGAAGAGAGATAGTGGTAACAACATAAATGTAGCAAAAGAAACATTCTTTTTCAAAAAATTAATGTTTCCAAAATGTGTGGAAATGGGATAAAAGGAATTGAGGAGGTAGAGAGAGGGAGAAAGAGAGGAAGGGAGAAAAAGACGGGGCATAGTATTATTTTAGGATATTATTATGGGAAGGAAGAAAATTATGTCTGTTTTGCTCATTTGGTATATAAATATATATCTGTATGTGTATGTGTGTGTGTGTGTGTGTGTGTATGTATGTATGTATGTATATATTTAAATATATATAAACAAATTCAAACCAATTACAGTCGCCAATTTATTGTTGGTTAGTTGGTGAAGATGATGATGAGAGGGTGATAAAAATGGAAAAAAGAGAAAGAGGGAGGTATTCTAAGATGAGGTTTTCTATTTGGATAGTTGGAACTTGTTTCCAATCACACTTTTGTATCATTTTGCTTTTCCCGAACAAATTATTTCTGGTCCGAATTATTATTTAACTAGTATCTTCATGCCCGAGGTTAAATAGGTCACTGTATATGTACAAATGTTTCTTATAGTTTTTAACAAACTGAGAATTAAGATCTTTTGCAGTTATGTGATTTGTAACATTAGTTATTTGAATAACAATTGAAGTATTGAAGTAAATTAATGTGATAAAATAACAACTACCACTCTTATGATTACAAAACATTTCGATGTAGTTGTGATGTTTGTTTTTACTACATTTATATCAATAAGTGTAATGAAAGATCTTAAAACCATACTTTTAGCAAATGGCCTTTGAATAGAAATCCTATGGCTCTTTTGTTTTTGCTTTTAATTTTTTCATTTTTTATTTGATTGGATCACACAAGATTACTAAAAAAATGCAATAAATGATTTATAAAATTAATATCTTATATTTATGTTAGTTCTTTATGGCCCTCTTTATAGATAAGTATTGCTAATCATTAGACAGCTATTACGAGTTATCTGAAAAATTTTAATGATATTATCATTATACTATCAAAACGAATCAATCAGTATAATAAAGAAGAGAAGAATGAAAATGTGATCTACCAAATGCTCTATTAATTTTGCTTAATTTTAAAAGAGATATATTTGTAAAATTCGATTGTGTGATAGTTTTGTGGCATTTTGAACAAAAATAGAAAGAATTGCGATATCGTAGAGAGGGAAGAGTTAACTTTGAAAGTGATGTGACTTCCTTTTCTCAGTGTCCATTTCATAATTTTATTGATGATACTAATGATCATCATATTTTGCGCGAAATGAGGATAACATAATATGGAAAATAAAAATCTTCTAATCGTACATAAAATTACTTCACTTTTTTTTCCAATGACGAATTCAATATTATAAGCTATGCTTCATTTTCTTATATCAGAACAATAATGATTTAGCATTTTTTTTTGTTCAAAATTTTTATTATCATCATTTGGTCTTTTTTCAATATAATCGATACAGTATCTTTGTATGTGTTATATTTCTATTCATTTGGATTATTATACCAGAAGTTTCAAGAATTGTATTTCAACGCCTACTTCTAAATTCATAAGCTTAAAATTTATGCTTAAAACCACTTAATCTATACGAAAAGCGTTCCAGTCCTTTCACTTTTCTGTTTAATTATATTAGTTACACTTGCATGAAATAGCTATTAAGGATTCATCTAATATGCATTTCTACAACTTAATGTTTAGTAAATTTTATAAATCAAGCATTGCTAATTACAAATTTTTAACTAGTAAATTAATTACCTTATATGGCTTCTCCGCAGAAATAGTAAGCATTGTTTAGTTAAGTTAATTATTCATTAATCAAAAATATAGCAAAAAGTCTTTCCCTTCTATGCTAAAATGCCAATGATGAAAATAATGATAAATGAAGAAAAGACGAACTTTCATGTCTAAGAAGACAAGTCGATCATCTTTTGAACTCAAATTAATTACCTTATATGGCCATTACATGAGTTGATGTCATGAAGGATATTAATTTATATCATTTTTTTCTTAAATTATATTTCTCTTCAGTCATCAATAGAAGAAGGCGTAATGGGGGGTGAATGTGAAAGTTCATCACCGCAACTGCAGCAAGTGAACGAAGGCACTCCAACATTACCGAATGGGAAGAAAACAAAAGGTATGAATTGCAGGTGAAAAAAATTTAACTGTCAGTTGAAATGAGGTAGGGATATTTGTTCATCGCATAAATTTGCGTATAATCAATGGATCTTCCAAGGCTAAGGATAATGTTTTACTCTGCGAATAAAATACTTTTCATAATCAAGTCTAAGTTGCTCTCATTCGTTTCAAAATTTTACACCTCTTTATCATGTTTAAAATTCAAAAAAAAATCGACCTGAAATTTGCTGTTTTCATCTTTTTCTAATAATTTTATTACTGTAATGTAGATGTTTACATTTAATTCAATTATTTGCATAATTAACTACGATTTTAATTTTGGTCAGTAAAATTTGAAAATCTTAAAAAATTGCCTATCGTACTCAATACAGGAAGATATATATGTGTTTTTCTTGTAGAAAAAGTTTCTGTGTGTGATTAAATGATGTCATGTTTAGTGTCATAATTTTACAGGTCGAGTAAAGATAAAAATGGAATACATTGGCAATAAACTGCGAAGGTATACAACATTTAGTAAAAGGAAAACTGGAATTATGAAAAAAGTTGGCATTCCATTATTGTTTTTTTTGATTTTCCTCTCAATGAAAAAAAAATGAATGAATTTTCTAAAATAAAATTTGTTGCTTCTAAGAATTAATTCATTTGTGATGATAATTATTTGAGAATATTTATTTTTGTAATCATTAAATTTAATTTTCATATTAAAATGATAGCATTTTTCTCTTTAGGCCTATGAATTATCAACATTGACAGGAACTCAGGTGATGTTGCTGGTAGCATCGGAAACAGGTCATGTCTATACATTCGCTACAAAAAAATTACGACCGATGATCTCTTCTGAAGCTGGAAAAACACTAATTAGGAATTGTCTTAATACTCCTGATATTGGTTTGTGTTCACCTTTATTAACAGTTTTAAAATAAAAGATAATTTTAAGCAGGACTATTTTTTTGAGATTCGTTAAAATTTAACACAATCTATAATAATTTAAGCAATTGGAATAATTTTTTTTCTTCAAGTTATTTTAACAAATAGACTATCCAGCAAAATTTGATATTTTATAGCATCTTAAATTAATTTGTAAAGCTAATGAATGACAAATGCCGTTGTAGCTATTTCTCTCACAATCGTTATTGTCTTTTAGATGACGCGGTCGATCCACTTGGAGCGCGACAGGAATTTACATTTGAGCCACAACCAAATATTTCAAGAAAGCGAAAACTAAATGAGGTTTGTTCACATATAATTTGAGTTGAAATTACATCTAATAAATCATCATATGACGAACATATACCACCAATTCTTGCGCATTTGTCTATTATTCGCAAAAACTTCTCATATCCATTGACCTCATCAATTCAAAAAAAAGACCATTTAATTGTTTTGAGCGTAATTATCCATGCTTCGTTTTTTTTTCTTTTTTTAAAGTCGCTATGAATATATCAAATGATCTTAACAAAGAAGAAAATAAGACCTCGACCTTTCTGACCTTTAACTTTCGTGGAGCAAATCTTATCACCATAGTTTTATTCTCAGTAGCATAACTGTTGAGATGATATGAGTACTAAGTTTAGATTAAGGTTGAAACAAACAAGCAGATCACTCTTCAGTCTCTTTCTTCCGTTAGCTCTAACTGATATGTGTTGTGAGCACTTCGCCCTCCCCAACTTACAACGCCATATGAATTCTTAAATTTCGAGAAAAGAAAAGATACAAATGCGATGTCATTTCAAAATTTGCGATATGCAGAGCAATGATTGCCTTGAAAGTACGGTAAAAAGAAGTTATGTCGAAGATTTGAAATTGTTGCTGTCATCATCAAATAGGCAATTGGTGTGTATCCATGTGTGCGTGTGTGTGTATGTGTATGTGTATGTGCGGGTATGTATATATATATATGTACTTATGTGTTTTGTGTTGTTGTGTATGTGATGTGCATGTGCATATGCGTGTGCCTATGCAGTTGTCTACATTCTATGGTGTGTCACAACACCGGGTAGCTTGTCATTTCAATAGCAGCCAACCAGCAAGCAATTCAGGATGTCACATTCCCAAGAGGACACACCGTATGACTTGCACCATATCTCAGTGCGTTATTGTCCTATGTCTTTTCATGCATTCTTTCCTCTTTTGCGATTCTCCTCCCCCTTTCCTTCCATTCTGAATTCTTCGACAAATACGGTAGTGATATTGGATAGTAGCCTAGTCCAATATTATAATTTTGCTTCTTTGCTACTCAGCTCTTTGATACCGCAATTACAAGTGCAACTAATTGTCCTACCTTATATTTATCCTCTATTGCTATTCAATTCCCTTTCAATCCTTTGTAATTTAAAGCCTGAATTTGATATTAAATTAACAGTCGCTTATTGGTACCATTTGATGAAACAAGAAAAAGAAGAAAATATCAATTCAAATCAAATTATCCTTATTCATTGCTATAACATTTTACATATAACCTTTAAAAAAATGAAATTCATTAGTATGTATCGGCTAATATTTTCAGAAAATGCAAGATATACTGTATTTTCAATTTGAATTAAAATATTTTAACTTTATCAAATTTTGAAAAATTTTTTGCTGGTCTTTTCCAAACTTCTTCAGCATGAATGCAACAAAATAAGTATTTCTCCCAGAAAATTTGGGAGCAAAAGGGAAAAGGGAGCACCAACTGCCTGTTTGCCCGGATCTGTTCCTATCAAGCACCATCCATCCTTCTTCCATTACATTCATCATCCAAAATATATACATATATCCCTTCCAGCTAGTTTGTTTCACATCGTCAGCAATACTATTTAAGAATCTCTACTAACTAACTAACAAATTGTACACACACACACACACACATACACTTATATATATACTTTTATACGGGAAGCTTGAGATAAGAAGAGGAAAAGGCCAGCGGCGTCATTTTCTTGAGCCATCAAAGCCACCTACGCTTTCATCATCCTGAAAGCAAGCTTTCCTCCTTCCATTCTCATTAAATCCGAAGAACATATCCAACAGAGCAGGGAAGAAGGAAATCTCGGAAGGGAGCTTCCCTGTCAAGCAAATATGTGCATCAACAATAATGCAAGCAAGCAAGCAAGCAAGCATCATCAACTTCTCAACGACAACAACACTGGCTATATCATCACCACCACCAGCACCACCACCAACACCACTACCTTGCAACAACAACATTGCCACTATCAGCAAACTGATGTGTAAAAAGGTTTAAAGAAGAAATGAAGAAAGGATATGCTCCTCAGATGGCGGCTCAATGAATGGATAGATAGATGTGGAATTTACATGCATGCATAGGTATGTGTATGTATGCATGTATGTATGTGTGTATGTGTGATAAATGTGATAAATAAGACGAAACAACTTTACATCAGATCACTGGTCGCCTATATTTGTTACATCAAATTGCCGCTATTATAAAAAGCAGCGAAACAACTGCAACACAACTGAAAATGATAACGAATCAGATCGGGAAAAATGAAGCATTAAAAAGTTTCAGATATTGAATCGGTAATCGGCTGATAGATTTAATGGGTTTTAGATGTTTACAATGCTTGGATAAATGAAAAAAATGGATGAATGTTTTGAGATAGTAGTATGGAACATGTGATAGATTTCAATTTAATGGAAAGATAAAGGGGTTAGAAGTGGAAGAAGTGATATAAATAGGAATGTTATAAGTTTGCTATTTCATAAATAAGTAATTCATCAAAAGCAAATATAATGAAACTTTTCAAAAAATAAAAATCGAAACTGCAAGATCAACGCATTTATAATTTCATGCTATCCTATTTTAACAAATCGAAATTCACAACACAAAACAATCTAAATTCATCAGATGAATTTCCATAAATTAAATGTTAAGTTTTAATGTTTCCTCCTTGAAATTGCATGTAACCTGAAATAGCAATGGGAAGATAGGTTTATAGGAATATGCAAAGGTCTAGAAATTGTTTTTCTTTCTTATTTTTTTCCTAAAATAATAAAACTGGAGTCTATTTTATGCTATCATTAATAGAAAACATTTTTTTTCAAAATAGTCGGGCAAAAAATTTTTTGTAAAGGAAATTTTATCTTTGAAGTTCTCTTCTTACTGTTTACTAAAGACTAATATCAACGTTTTTCACTTTTCTTCTAGAAAATGGTACTGGCTAAAGGGATTTTTCTTTTTGACATTGTTGATTAAGAAATAGACTATCCTCTCATCGCCACTTTCTATTTGCATAACTATTTTATCTTCAAATAGATTGAAAAATTTGCGGAAATTCGTTTTGACAATCTTCAAGCAAAATGAATAATCCTGACGTATGATGTTCTATTCGATACTAAACCATCAACTTCTATATTAAATTCTTCAATTATTAACTTTTTCAATTATCGCTTGACATTTCAACAAAGAGTGTAGCAATGAAATCTGAGATAATTTTTATACAAATTTTGAAACATTTTCGATCAATTTATTCAGTTATGCAAAAATTATGCCATATAATCATTAACTAATAATGTCGAAAAGAATTTAAACTTCGATTATCTTAACAAATGTCCAGTAAACAGTATTAAATAATTTTTGTGTGATAATTTAAAGGTTATATTTAAAATTATAAATTGCTTAATTACTTACATTGCTTCCAAATTTATAATAATAAAATAATAATATATTTCTTTATTTTATAATTTTAAATATAACTTTTAAATTAAAAATATAAATTGAAAGCCAATGGATTTGTAAGTTTTACATTTTATAATAAGATTAGAAAGGACTAATTCAGGTGTTATTAAATTTGAGTGCTTACATTTTACAAGAATATTAACAAGAATGTTTTAAAATTATCGAAAATTGTCAGAAATTGACATAATTAATGAAACCTTCCAATGCCTTCTTAGCGCAGAGTACCTTTTCATTTTGTATACAAATTTGGAGCTTTAAAGCTTGTTGAAAACTAGTCTCAGCAATAGAAGTAGTGCTGGTAGTAGCTCTCTTTCTATATAGTTTGGTACAACTGAGGATGGTAAATTTCACCAGCATCCTTTTCATCGTCTTCGGCAGCTACCATCATCAATATTACTTCTCCTACTGCTACTACCAGTAACGTTAACTCATCGTTATGTTTGTATTTATAAAATCCTAAAAGGGACCAGCTTTTAATAGCGGTGATATAAATTACCAGGTCAACACAATCCAAATGAACCAATTGTTTTCTGTAAGGCACTTGAAATTTTGCATTTTATTAAAATATTCATATTATATGAAAAAAAATTTGTTAACTTGATGCGAAATTTTAAATATCAATTTTGCTTGCTTAATTCTTGGTATTGAAATAAAACTTAATCCTCTATCTTGGTAGTTTTTTTAAGGCAGTTTAAAGAGTTGCGAAGATTAACTTGATTAAAAATTGTTTAAGACAATGTATTGTTCTTCAAAGTTAGCTCAAAATTCATTTAGGTTAATTTATTTTCAAACAAGGCATATATTAGCAAGCAGCTTGATTAATATCACGTCCTGTATTTGAATGAAAAATGGTTGGTATTTATAGTGTCCTGAATTACCAACAATGGTACATCCTACAATGATAGCTGCCTCACCGACTTGCAATCCAGAAGAAGCAGAAAATTCCGATGGTGGTGAATCGGAAAGCGTCGATAGTCATGATGATGTGATGGAAGAAAGCGAAACTGACAAAGAAAAAGGTCAAAATTTGTTTCATTAAATAAAAATAATTCATTAATTGCTTAATTGAAAAGTGACTTAAAGATCATCACTCTGAGAACCACTTTTTCAACCTCAAATTCCTTATCATTGTAGATTTCAAACTTTCTGTCCCCTTAAATACTTCGATGAATCTTGAATAATCATAGAATTATGAACATAGTAACCTTAAATGAAAGGTTAATTTATGAAAGATTTTAGACACAAAAAGTTTTAGCTTTTCAAATCTCATCTGTATAAAACCGTAAGAGCAGAAATCATCAATAAGTAGCTTGATGGCCCATTATGGTGGTTTATCAAATGAAGTAGCAGCTGTCATCCAATTCTATTTTATCTTCCTTCTCTCCTCTTCCTCCTTCAAAAGTTCATCGTAGAGGTCAGCGACAGTTGTTTCCCTGTGGATTTAGCTAAATGGCACATATAAATGGGATTTTAACGGCTGTAATACTGCGCACGATATATACGGAAACTAAGCCTGCAAATAAAAGAAAAGAGAAATGATGACTAAAATCGAAGAAGTTTATAAATTGCAGCATAGATGGGAGAGAAGAGAATTGAAATTAGTAGGCGCAGTTGTAGCCAATTGTTGTAACACACCTCTTTCGGCTCATTTCCGTTCATTTTGTGATATATATATTTGGTGAAAAGAAGATTAAGAAGAGAAGCAATCTTTAGATGGATCATTAAGACATAAGTATATGTAGACCAAATCTGGACAGCTGCTGTCAATTTGCGGACAGTAAATACCGATAGAGGGATTGGATAGATAGATTAAATAGGAGAATAGATAAATTGGATAGACTGATCGGCGCATCACTTATCACAAATGCAATCCATTGTCATACAACAGAAGTTGTAATGAGGGGCGGGAAATCTCATCGGTAGAACTTATTGCTTTAATAAAATTAGATAAAAATGTTAATTCAAATTAAATTACATATAAAGCTTAAAATATTAGTAAAAGACTAACAGCAAGCAAGAGTATTGCATCTAATTTTTCTCAAGTAAAAGTTTCAAATTATAATTTGGATACAACTATTTATGTCCGTAAAAGCGAGCATTAGTCATTTAGAGGAGCGTATTTTACTAAAAAGAGATTTTTTAGAGCGTTAGCTTTTTCAATCTTATCGTAAACTTTAGACTTTTATGGGATTGATTAATTACTTTATCAAACATCATCGTTAATGATAACCATTTTGTAGAGAAAGCGACTTCGTTGTCATTACAACAGACATTGAAAGAAGCGCTTCGTGTGGCAGCCGCTCAACGACAGTTGCAAAGAAGCAAAGCAAAAATTAACAACAATAATGATGTTAGAAGCGTCATTAATTATGGTAATAATAATAACAATAACAATTGTAGCAATACTCATAATGGTACCATTGGTAACATTGCTGGCAGCACCAATGTTCAAGCTACCGCAACATTCCCGCTTCTCGCACCATTTCTGTTACCAGGTAATCTTTATTCGCCGATGTGTTTGATTGTTCCGGTAACTATTAACAGAATATTGTAACTTAACCATTTTGCATATTGACAGTACAGCTAAGATCGTACTGTCAACGATTAAGGTAATCCGCTTCTGGATGTTGCTCTTGAATTTACTTCTACGGCGACGAGAATATGATGAAAATAATGGAAATAAATATTGATTTTAAGATAACTTGAAATTGTGATCTCAACTTATTGGAAAATTCTATAGGCTTGAATTCGGCTTCAACGGCGGGAACCAGCAACGCCATCATGTATCAGATACCTCAAGGCGTGGTTTATTCAAATGACGCAGGTCAATCACAATTTGTATTTAATAAAACCAAAAGCAGATTCCGTTTCTTAACAGATTCAGAAATCTCAGAAAATAATTTATCAGTGTTTACATAAAGGACTAAATTTGCAAAGTTGATTTAATTTTAGGAGCTGATAGTAATTCCTTATTTACAAATGGTAGTGGCAACAGTAGCAATTCCTCCGAGAACCAACAAACTAGTCCACAATTTATGTTCCCAATCAATTCGCTCACTTTGCAACAGGTATAGTTTATTTTGATTTCATATATATATAAATTTTACGTATTCGAACATAATTTCCTTTTTGCAGAGTCTCTTGCAAATCATGTCAACAGCCGCGCTAAGTGCAGCTCAGTTGGAAAACAGTGAACGTTCCAGCTGACCCATCTAAACAAGCTGTCTTGATAAAAATCAAAATTTGAAATGAGGAAAAAAAACCAATTTTGCTGGAAATCTTGGAATACTGCATGGCTGGTCGATTATAGCTTTGCAGTGCAAACGTCTATTTTATTCTGTACATGTGGAGGAAATTAGGATAAAAATAACAAATCAGATTAGGGAATTTAGTGTAGAAATCACAAATCAATCAATTAGCATTAGGAAAAGAAGGAAAATAGAGTGAAGTAATCTGAGGAAATATAAGTGAGAGTAAAGATATAGTTGGAAAATGAATGGTTCTCTAGCTTTATGCAAGCAAGAGAATCCAAAGATAAAAAAAAGTAGGAATATTCTGAACCTTTTGATGCTACAACTATATTTCATATTTTGTTACTTGTACACCTTTTACTACTCTATTTCGAGTTCTTTCACAAACAATCGTGATTTGTATCCAATGTATTATGATTCTGATTCTAATTTTTTTCTACAAAGTCGTCCATGGTAGTTTCTGCTTTCTTCTTTTGTTCGTGTGTGCGTGTCATACAAAAATGTAGTAAGTGTTAAGGCCTTCGAGTACTGCATACATATATATTTTTGTAAAAATTGAAATTGATAAATTTACAATATCTGTAGAAATACAACTTATGATGTAAGTTACAAAAAAGCTTTCGAATAAGCACTATATTTCCTTATTGGGATAAATTTAGACAGATGAAACTTTCTGAATTTTTTTAGCAGGGCTCGATGGCAGCACAAACGGTTAGTTCTTTTTCTGTATTTCGCTTTTTTTGGTTGATTGTTTTCGTGTAATTATTTTTGTGCCTTTGTTAACAGGACATTTGTTGTGTACGATGTGTAGAATAACTTGTAATATACTAGTCGACAAGTTTTTATACATTTACATCTACCAATGTTAAGGTAAAGTGTAATATTTTTAGAATAATTTATAAAATATGGAAATTTTTAAAATTAAAAAGTATATAATGTTTCCTTGACTTCAAAAAGAATGAGGTCTGCGCATTGCACACCCATCATAAAACAATGATCCTGATTAGATATTTCATACTTCCAACCACCGAATCGCCCACGAGAATAAATATTATGCGCCTGAAGAGCCATAAAAAATAAGAACTTTCTCTGAATTCACGAATTTCGAGACTAAATGTTATTTTATATAATATAAAAAAGTTTGTAAAAAAGGACTTGCTTGAAACGCTTCATGACAGCGTTGTAACTCCTTGTCCCTATTAACAGTTGGAATAGGATATCCATATGGCAAAATACACAACCATCTGTCAACAATCTCGTTATTATCAGCTATTATGCCTTTAAGTTTCAAACCTAGAAAGATTAATTATTTCCCAATTGACAAAAACTGGAAAGGATCCTTAAGAAACAATCATATAAATTTTTTCAATTATTGCTTGATATTTTAACAAAAAATGTTAAAAGTAAAATCTTAGATATGTGCAAATTTAGAAACATTATTTTCGATCAATTTATCCAATTTGCAAGAATTATGTCATATCATTATTAATTAAAAATGTCAGAAAGAACTTAAACTTCAATTATCTTAACCAATGTTTAATAAAAAGTGTTAAAATAATTTTTGTATGATTACAATAAATGTGTCACTGAAGCAAAAATAAACTTAACATATATAACTTAATGAAGAAATAAGTATGGTCAAACCTTCAATTACTTTAATTATCACTTCTTCTTCGACAAAATTTGCATCAGCTTCCAATCCAATCTCACATAGAACTGACCAGAATTGGTTGCAATCTGGTGTCAAGTTGTCGTTGAAGTTGGACAAAAAAGTGCACCTGGAATAGGGAACATAGAGCATTACTGAATATATCGGAAATAGACAGAAATTTGATAGAATGTCAAGTGAATTTGAATTCATAACAAACCTATAAAAAATAGTATCAGGTAATGGAAAATACGCCCACGTTACAAATTGAGTCCATTCGCATTGCGGATGTTTTAAACCAAGACCAACAAGGATTACCTAAAAGAAGAACAAGCAGTTATATTCACAAAGCGATTATACATTGTTGATTTATTTACAGGAACAATATTCTAAGAAAAACGACCTTGGAGTATTTTAAGTTGACATCGCTGATTACTGCGGAGATTTTCGATAATTCAGGAATAGGTAAAGTAGATAATATAGCATTATAATCATACGAATGAGTTTCACAATTTAAATCTTCAGTAATTACCTGTAAAACTGAAAACGTTGATAGCCACTGGCAATTATCATTAACTAATTTAAATTATACAAAATTCATGCAAATTTCAAAAAGAGGGAACACAAAACCATAAAAAATAAAATACCTTTTTTGTTTCAATATCAATCCTTCGCACTCTCTCTTGAAAATGAAAAATGGATTTCGGATATCGTTGAGCAATTTTTTTCCAAATTTTGCCCACACCTTTATAGTCTCTTGGATATCTATATAAAATAAAATTTTGATGCAAAAATTAAAAAAAATAGATTAAAAAATCAACTATTAGTTATGAAATTGCACAATTCCATTAGAAATGAGACCTAAATATTTACCTGAAACATGTCCTAGATGATCTAAGATCATCCTCAAGTTCCTGTCGGCTTCGACCGCAATGCAATTCAATACTAGATAAATCAATAGTTGGTACTCGACTCCATGCCCAAAATGCGTTCATTTCTTCCAACTCAACTGTCCATACCGAAACAAACACAGTAATCCTATTTCTTTTTTAAATTACGACATTAACAGCATTTGTTTTTACCTTTTTTTGGTTAGCTATAAAATTCAATTTGAAGTTCATCTCAATATAAAACTTATAAAATAAAGCTTAGAAATTAAAAATATAAAATTATCTATCGAAATTCGAATTCACCTTACGATTGTACGGTCTAATAAAGATATCCAACAATGTATTTCCGAATATATTTGCGCTATATTCAGCAAAATTCGAACAGCTGATGGGTAAGCCTCGCAAATTTTTTAATTCATTAATGCATTTTTGCCTAATAGCAGGTGGGAAATAGGGAATGGAATGTTGAACAGGATAGGGTACGTAATTGTTACACGGATTATCGCTTTTGAATAGATGAGCTAAATCGGCCTGCAAATAAGTAAACAATACTTCAACTTGCAATTTGAGAAATTTTTTGTGCTACTTTAAATTTTCCTATTTTTTTCAACATTTCAAATATCCAATGATATAATGCAATTTACCTTGACGGAATGTTTAACTTTATTCCATTTGTTCACAGCAGAGTTAATAACTTCTTCGAATTCCCGATATTTCGATACACCCAAAACATGTACACCCAAATCCCACGTAAAACCTTTCTCATCAGTTATCGATCTTGCCAAACCACCGACTTCATCTTCTTTTTCCAGAACGATAATCTTAAAATACGTGGAATATTACCAAATAGTGAAAATGTGTGTAATATTATCAAACAAATCGATGTTAAAAGACATGCAATAAATAAAACACTCCTGTTTGGCTTATGCGGAATATTATCAAATGAAATAGTGAATAATCATCCAAACAAGCTATATCATGTAATCGGTCGGTGCAATGTTTTTTAGCGTTACCAAAATTATATACTAAAAACGATCTTTAGGAGTGTTATAAACCATATTTAAGATACACCGAGAAAGAATAAAGAAAGGGAACAAAGAGATAAAATATATTACCTGTATATCGTCTTCTGATATTGTTCCTTCTGTTATCAATGAATAAATACGATGCAACGTACCGACTGCAGTAGGTCCAGCGCCAATGATAACTAATCGAAAACCTTTATCGATTTTCAAGCTGGACATGGACCAAAACTTAACATTAATTGAAATCTTTTACTAGGTACTATTTAGGGTGCTGAAACCGCATATTTAAACTCTCAAAAATAATTCTCTATTATCTCGAAAGCAAAATTGTCAAATATTGCATGATATCAAAATAATTTGACATTAAAGGATGAATTATCAATAAACAGTGATAACAATAAGTGGAAAATATCAACATTTATTACAAAACATTGTGCAACACTTCTAAACACTGGGAAACCTTATACATACCAGTCATTTTTTGGTAGCAGAACTTAAACACTTTCTGAATTCAAAATGAACTACAAATTAAAGCTAGAACTAGGCTACAAATAATTATTAAGGAGCTGGTAGGGTTAGATGTAGTTACTACTTATCAGATGTAATTATTGCTTGCTGTTAGGAACATAATTTACCAGAATAACTCCAACACAATTTAAAAGCAAACTGTACAAAAGTTTCTCGCAATTCGTATCCCAGCCTATCTGCTACAATTGGGAAGTGGAAGTTGATAGTTCATGAATCCCTGATGTCTGAAGATGGTAACGCGTGTGAGGTTCATCTTATCATTATTGTTAGTATTGTTACTATGCAACTCATTACTTAGCCATACTGTTATCAACAAGTTCACGTTAAATTTATTTAAAAGTGAAAGTTTTATTGACAAATCGATTGTGACATTCTACGAAATTATGAGGAAGGTGACGGACACAGACGTACAAACAAAGAAACCGGTATCTAAAAAATATAGAAGTCCGATTTGATTGATTAACGAGATGGTTCCATGAAAATGATTCCATGAAAATGAAATGTTCATAAAAATAAGGCCATTCTCTTCACTGTAACTGTCGCTGATCGTCATCCATCGTCATCATTACCAAATATTGCCATCATCATTATTATTATCAGTATCACATCATTATATTAATATCATTTTCATAGTCATTATCACTACTAGTATCACATTATTATCAACATCATAAAATCGCCTATTGTCATAATAATCGTCTCTATCATAGAGAAAGATATTTCGTCATATTTTATAAGAATATAGCTTCATTCTGGCAATTTCTGGATATATTTTCGATAAAACGGATAGTGCTTATTACGGGTAAGTAAGAGAAATACAGAGACGGGAAGGGAGCGAAGATGAAAAAGTCGGCAAAATGTCACCAATCTTTTGTTTTGTTTCAGTATTTGACATTCACGGGAATTCTTCAGGAAGAAAAGGAAAGAAGGATGACCACCTATTTACTCTCATCAATGTGTACCACTTTTCATCTATATTCGTCAGGAACAACTATATAATAATAAAAATGTGTTAGTTTGCGGAGTCGATCCTTCAAGAGTGGTATCTATCAGCGTGACATCCTGTTCGATAGTTATCTCCAATGTTTTATCACTGGTTGCTATTCGTGGTGTCCATTAATGCAGGTAATTCTGCCACTTTCAATATCACGATAATTTTTAGCAAGTCAATCATTAACAATCAGTGAAAACTGAGCTTTCACTTAAATTCATTTTCTGTCAAGTTTCTCCTATCTTTGGTCATCTTTTTCAGTACCATTGCCTGAAGAATTGAATTATGACGGAGAAATTCCGGATTGTCTTGATGGTGAGAAACCTTTGTTAGCCGCAGATATTGGAATTCATACATGCGACAAAAATTGTCCGGAAGGATTTCGATGTGAATACAAAACAATGAATATTACTGCAAGGAAAGGTGTAGTGAATATTTCTTATTTTGTTGGAGCACTAGGCTTATTTCATTTCTTGTTGTGGCGTAGTTGTGGCCTGGATATAGTCAAGCATCAAGCCTCCGGAAAGAGTTTCAGATTTTAAGCATTTAAACATTTATTTTATTTTAATCCATTTACCGTTTGGATTAAAAGTTTTCCGCTTTTCTAAAACTTTGAACGGTGTAGAAATTCCGAATTTCCAATCTATTGAATCTTTTCAACTGCAAAACTATTCTAAGTAATGCAGAATCATCATTAAATTGGAAATTATACATTCTTGTTGGATAGATTGCAGTCATATTAATTTACAGGCATATGTTGTCCGGATGTGAAAGAATTGGAGAAAATTTACAATGTGGATGAAAAATTGGATAGAAATGTCACAAAATCGAATATCTAAAAAAAGAATTCCTATTGATGATAATCTTGTTATGTACATAAAGGATTGTGGCTTTAACTTGCGATCCAATTGTTACTTTTCGCAATCATAATTTTATGATCAATAAAAAAAGTCTCTAGTAAATGGTCATTGGAAGTCCTACAAAAATCATCTTTAATGTTGCTGATATTCAATTATCTTTTTTTGTTGAACTCGTGATAAACGAACATCCACCTGATATTGATGTTTCATTGTGTTTGCATGGTAATCTCATTTGTTGAATAAATTTGTTTTAACTGATAATTTGCTCTTTTGATTTAGAGATGATTATAAATTCTATATGAATAAATTAAGATTAAGACCAAGTCTTGCTAATGAAGAGTACTCTGAGCTTTCAGCACATTGCCACTGTCGTGTTACTGAGAGAACAATTGCGCATCCAGGATATTTATGTTTGAATTCATTCGCAATCACTGATTTTCCTGCGAGCGCTCTCACTTGATGATTGATCAAGTAAGAGTTCAGTTACTGAAACCTGCAAAGTCAATTCTAATTTCATTATATTTTTGCCTGCTTTATTTTAAAATTACTAATTTGGAAGGCATCTCTTGCAATATTTCATATACATTACTTTCTCCCTTTCGTCGCAAGAATAATATACTTTAATAATCCATTTATATTTAATAATCTAAAACGACTGCTGATAATAAATTATCTCATTATTCTTACCTTTTTGAATTATATCTTGAGCACTGCAATCATCTATTCATAATAATTCCTACAAAAATTTAAGTAAACTAACAGTTTAGTTGCTTCTTCGAAAAAGAATTTATATAAATCTGAATATTAATTTGGCTATTCTAGATTTCTTTTCTATAAGGAATGATAAATTACAATTAGATTATTTTAATACCATCTCAAATTTTATATTTTTTCAGAACAGCTCAAATCTGATGTGTAGAGATGCGTATTTAACCGAGTCGTTTACCTTAGGATTTTAATATCCTAATTGTTGCTACTACTAACGGCATGCTTTACTTACTTTTGGACGAAATGCATTTCTGACATTTTATTTCTGATAAATTGTCTCGAATTTTGGTATTTTCTAAATGATTTCCAGCTGCCTCAACTCATTTTTAATTCATTATATATTTTTCAGTTTGAATTTTTTTTCAAAGTATAGTTAAGGAATAATAAATCGAATGACAGCTCATCATTTTATTCATTTTAGCAAATTTTGAAACGCAATTGTTAAGTGCTAAATCACCTAAAGCGTATTTGTTATTTACAACTCTAACTTTACCATTTCTGTAAAAATAAATTTAAAAGTATAACTTTCAAGAAAGTAAGCATGGAGTATATATAATAAACCTGAAAAGATGCTTAGGTCGCACGACTGCCCAGAATGTATTTCTATATCTGAAGCAATTAAAATTATTTAAAAGATAATCAAGAGAATATTTACGGGAAGCTTTACATTAAATGATTGAGAAACAAAAAATTTCCATTCTCAAATGATTCAAAAAAAATTTTTTAACGTAAATGTAACCAACCTGGAAGACATTAAGCAGTAAAGAACGAAGGTAATGGATGAATTCAGCAATGAGAGGAGATCAAGGATATCACCGAGATTGAAGTAAATATATATATGTACATGAGTGGTGTAAATAGCATTCATAATGGCGATGATCCCTTGAGGCATTTCGGCGATTAAAAATACCAATACTATGACAAGCAATAGCGTTGATGTTCGATCTGACTGAGTGACACCCCTGAAATTTGTTGTCCTGATAGTGTATTAAATATTCGTTCTGAAATTAGTTTGTTATAAAATCTTTCTGATCTATTAATCATAAAATTGTATTTGTACCAAAACTGGTTCTATTACAATATTTCAAATTAAGTTTAGTGATTTTTCTTCGATCTTTCAAATATATCGTATTATCACATGACTTGTTTCCCCAGATATATGTAAATTTGTTTAGAATCAAAATGTTACTATATTTAATCTTTCAAGGCATTCCCTTTAATTGGACATTTCTTGTTCGAAATATATCACTATTTGAATGTTCAATCGCTGATCGTTGAACAGGCCTCGTTATTCTTTATAGTATCCTTCCGCCTAATTTCAAGATTTCATTTAAAAAAGCTAATGGAAAAAAACCTTTTTGTTTTCGATGAATTGCATTTCAATAGCATTTTACGTTTTTTAGTTGTTTGATGTAATGTTAGCATAAGACCGGATGAAAAGCAAAGTAAGAGTATGCAAGGTATGACCTAAAAAAGATTAAATTGATGAGCTTTGATAGTAATTGAGTTATCAAAGACCCAAAAAGATAACATTTAATTTTAATTCAGCTCAATTTGCTTTTTAATAGCTAATAACAAAAAAATGGTTATTAATTATAAAAGCTTTCAAGAAGTGAAATGGAAATACCTTAAAAATAACTCCTAACATCCATAAATTCCATTTAAAAAAGCGACATCCGTTTGCCATTGCAGACGATGACACCTGGAAAAAAATAATAAATATAATAAAATTATTAATGTAAATTATTTCAGAAATTCAGCAAAAAAACTTTTGCCAAAGGTGAACCATCGATATATTAGAGTTACAGTAACATTTATAATGAACAATAATAATAGAATCGTAAATAATAACAAAATATAAAAGGCAATAAGCAGCAATTATTATTAAACAAATAAATAAAAACGAAGATTATGTAGCTGTAAAAATCAAAATTTATAGTATCTTCGAGCTTTTTATCTATAGTTTTAAGCTTTTTCCATTCAACAATTAATTTCTATTGATTCTTTTGAATTAAAATATTACTATAAAATGATAGAGTTGATCAATCAATATTCGTTCAATATTGAGAAAGTTAGATTTCAGATGATTTTTAGGTAGATAGAAAATCAGATAATTTAACTTACATGAAATGTGTAATACTTGGCGGTATAATTAGGGGGAAAATCATGAGCACAATGGGGTGCTGGATGCCAATCACCGCTTTCAACCACATCGTACACCAGCAGCGTTGGTATGCAAAGTAAAAATACACTAAAATATATCACAACGCAAATTCTCCAAGCCATCTGCGGCTTTTGCCAATAGCTACAAATACAATTTTACACTAAGTAAGGATGATTATACTTTTGATCTTCAATGAATATACTTTAAATATTTATTGACACATACAGCACTTCACTATCGGTTAAACAATTTAGATTAAATTCAACTATACTCTGATGAAATGATTTTAATTAATTTAAGAATTCAGTTTTACAATGCATCACAGATAATGGAAGAACGTATCCTTTTTGTGTAGCAGACTGATTATTGCAATTGAAAAATGATAATTTTAATGGTCAAAATAAAAAGAGAAATGTGAAGAAAAATGACCTATTCAGAACAGCACTTCTTAAAGTCATTTGTCGGATGAAAGCCATTGCAACAATTAACCATAGAGAAGTGGTATGTAAAGTAATGCTGAGTACCATATGATATAATAAATATCGCATCCATAAGTAAGAGTAAATAGGCACACTGCAATGAGTAACATACATTTTAATTAATGTAAGCTCTTTAAATTAAATAACTTTAGCATTTGATCTGATGAGAAAAGCGAATTTTAAAAAGCAATTAATTATTCGTTGATAGAAGGAGAAATGAATTTGCGGGAATTCGATAATCTAATTTATATTTGAAAACGAATTCAAATTAGTATTAGTTGTAAAACAATTTTCATAGGCAATTTTTCTGCATTAGTGGCATTCGATTTTTTTAGCTTAAATCACTTTTGTAACATCAAAAAAGATTTTAAAACCAAATACAATAGGAAATAAAAATCCTGTGTAAAAGGATGACGTAAAAATTTCAACTTTACTTCAACAAGCTTTTTGTCATCTGAATCTTCTTTAGTCACATAATAAATTAAAATGATTAATTAAACTTCAAAAGATGTGCTTCAACTTTCAATAGCTTTTAATACAAAGTGCAAAAAATTTTTAAAAACACTGATAAATAGCTTTAAAATGTTATCAAACTGTGAAGTGGAATTATAAAGTGGAAGTAAGGATCAATAAAGCTAACCAAGTGATATCTTTGAAAAGTACAAAATGACAAATATATATGAAATACGATGCCATTGTACCCATATCACAAAAAGCAACCATTGTTAGTACGCAATTTACCGCAGAGCATCTCATATTTGGTCTGGTTAGTACCACTACATGTATTAGGTTTGTTCCAATGCTGACCGTACATATTACTATACAGATGAAACCATGTACCGGTGAATAGATGCTGAAATTAGGAAAATGTTTTCCGTAATAGCTAAACATTTCAAAATGAGAGGGAATAAGATAAATCACTGATAATTATATTAATAATGCTTGTTCTCCATTTGTGCATATGGTCTCAATTTTTAAATGGCTTACTAAGCCTAAGCCATAGATAAACCTTTGATTAAAATGTAGCTTATTGTCTTTTAGTTTGGGCCATCAATTGGAATGATATATTTAAACCTTTGAAAGGCTTGTAAAGCAGCCAGAAATAGACGTGTTGAATTATCAGACAAGTCGAATAAAGGCGTATCATTAACACACAGCATCCTATATCTTCATAAATATTCTTTCTTCTTCTAAAAACTGATTTCATTTAAACTGAACTGAAGCTGTACGCATATATATTTGCACACAAATAAACTTGTAAAGATGGGAAATTTTGTACTTTTATTGCTCATTGGCTTAAAACTTTTCGGAAAATTGCGTATATTTCTGAATTCAGTTTTTTTCGGGAAGTTCTAAACTTTTGATTTACCCATTTCGGATATGTCAAAAAGTTTTGAGCCTTTACTTATTTCTCGGATTTATAGTTCAATAAATTAGTTTCTATTAAATAATTATGTAAATTAATCACGTTGGGTATTTAATTATAATTGTTTGTTTGCATTCGTGCAAGTTTGCATTCGCTGAAATAATAGTCTTTTTTTAATTATAGTGATGTTATTCACTATTATGTTAAAAAAAACACTGAAAGATGAATAAAATTCGAAAAAACGAGTTGATTCAATGAACTGAAAATGGAAAGTAATAAATTATTGTTTTATTTTGTAGTACAAAAAGATGATTACTTCTGTTTTTTTAAAAATAACAATTAAAAAAACTCTGTCAGCAATGTTTCAATAGTATTTCACTAAAAACTAAAATTGATATATCAATGGAAAATCTTCAAATTTCTCGATAAATAAATTTTTCAAGCAATGAAAGTCTTTTTACGAAAAAAAATCAGGAATTCATATTATCTTACTTCATCCGTTTTTTTAAATCTGTATATTTGTTCAGTTGAGAAAAGATGATCAATATAACAAACGAAAACTACGATAATTACCAAATATAAATTAGTTACCAGATATAAATTGTAGGAGCAATTGAAATTTCGATTTGAATTGTGTATAAAATACACATGACATTGTAATTAATCGATAACTGATACCTTATTCTAATTAATTACAGAATTAATCTAGGAAATGAAATGAAGTATATTTCAGACTCACCAATTCTCTTAGAAAGCGCATTTCGTTTTTCCAAAAAAAGAAAAGTGGTATCTACACAGTATCATATGGTTGCTCTTCAGTCATCGGTCAAGTTCAGATTTCATGTAATTACTCTCATGAATTCTAATTAGTCTCCATTATTTTCTTTTTATTGAATTTTGAAGTTCACATAAAATATGAAACAGATACGTGGAAGATCGAAGAAAATTAGATAATTCAACAAGCTATATGATGAATTAAATTCCAAAATGTATGAAACAATTTAAATCTTACATTTTTTTTAAATAGCATTTCTGAAACAAAATTCGTGACCACTTTTTGTTACTTATATGAAATAAATAGTTAAGTATAGAGAGAGTATATATATATATATATATATAATGCATAGATAAGCCTAATTGTTCTTACTTTTATACCATTCTCTACTCTATCTTTTTTTTCAATTGTACTTCATGTCGTATGCTTTTCATAGAAAGAAATTTCCTTATAAATTATAAATGAATAGCGATAAGGAAGAAATGAAATTATGTTAATAAATCGACAAAATTTCATTTATAAAAATTGATTTTTTAAATATGTCAAAAAGATTTAATATTCAATAACAGTATCGTCGTCAACAATAACAATAATAATAGTAATAATATTAACAATAAATAATAATAATAATAAAAGTTTCATTTCACTTCAGTAGTGAAGACGAAAAAGTGGGTGGATATACGGAAGTAAAAATTTTAATAAAAATTTGATAGTTGAAGAGCACATATTAATAATCATCTCATTAACAATAGTATTTGATACTCTGAAACTGAAATATTAATTAGTCGTTTTTTTCTCACTTGCCTTCAGCTTAATTGCTAACATTGTCTTTCTTTAAACAAAAAATTGTTCACTCATAACTTTGATAAATAATTTCAGTGAACTTTTTTTTAAATTCAGACATAAAGTTACAATTATATGCAAAAAGAAGCAAAACATTTCATGAACTATTTAATTGTTAAAGAGAATTTCATTTATCTATCCATTAATTTAAATTTAAAATGTTTTACAGTAGTGCGCTTCTTTAAATAAAATAAATATATGCCCAATTTCACAAAATCTTACAATTTGTATTTTACGAATGAGATTTGACGAATACTGAAATAGTCGCATTGCAATTTTTTTCCGCACTGATAAAAAAATTTTAATTTGTTGCATTGTTTTTTCTTGCATCTTTTACAGCCTCTTTGATACTTTTGGATTTTCTTTTCTCTCAAAGATTTTCAGTAATAAAAAAATTTCGAATTTTTATGCAATGAAAGTTAATTTTCTTTTTAATTCAACAACTCATCTACAACAACCTATTTCAAAATTATTCGAAATCATTTGATGATAGATAGATAGTATCCTTTCAAGTTAAATCAAGCAATTTTAGGCATCTATTACTACAATAAAGTTAGCGATACAAATCATTAATGTAATTAATGCGAAAATTAATGAATAAGAACAGAGGCGAAGACATTTAAATGGACAAAATAAGTTTTTGTTCGCTGATAGCATTTCCATAAGTGAAGATCTCTTTTTTTTCAAATTTACGGTTTTCAATGCAAATGATAAAATTGAAAAAAATTGTAACAGAAATTAATAGATGTAATAAGAAATGCGGAGAGATTAGAGAGAATGAGAGTAGTAGATACATGATTTTTGAGTTCAAAATTTCAAGTTTAACTTTACGTACAAATTCGGATCTCATTTTTGAACTAGGCGATCAAAATTTGAGTTTATTCAATTAGAAAATGTTCAGGATCCGTAAATGTAAGGAAGTGAAATGTTGGAACATATCAGAATTTTAAATAACTTCATGTAGAATATGAGCGCTTTATAATACAAGCCATTTTGAATTTATTTGTTCAAAAATAAAAAGAGTTTAAGAAGTAATAGTTCTAGAACTCTTTGCGACCTAAGTGAAACTATTTTATTTGTATTGAAGATTTCTAGAAAGAATCTTTATTGAGAATTTCTCCGAAAAAGAAAATTCATTTCATTGATCGTTTTCTATTAGCTCAAGAATAAGGAAATAATAATCATCCAATGATGATCATCGACATCATCTCATTTTAAAATGAATTTCTCCACAAAAAAAATTCCATTATTGATTTCTAGATCATTTACATCATGTCAATTAGTTCAAAAAGGAACTTAAACAAAGGCCAAAAAAGAAAGAATGTAAAATATTGATGAATTGATCTGAAATGTTTCAAGTAAAACACTTTCATACTTTTTCAAATTTTACGTAAAGACATGAAACACGGAAATATTCTTCGAAATGCCAAACTTAATTCCGAATCTTTTACGAAAAACAATGTGATGATTTGCCAGTAATTTTCTATTTTCCTATTAAAATTTAGAAAGATAGAAAGGAAAAACATATTTAGTAAGTCTAGACTGGCAACAATAGTGAAGCTAATCAACGACAAAAATCTCCAGAGGCATCCTCTCAAATAGGGGAAGATAAAAAGATGCAATGAGCTTCAATCGCTCAAATCTAAAAAAAAGGAAAATTTTATAATGGGAACATTAAAATTAAGAAATGCCATTAATTTGAGATTCATTATTTTAAGCTTCCTTTCAGAGGGAGAAATATAAAACGTAGGATTTACATAACCTAAACATAGTTATTTAGCAAAATATTAAATGAAATGAAATGAATGTTATAATTAATTCCAATTTTACCAAATGCACTGATAACAAAAATCTCGGATATATTTTTTTTTCGAAATTTGAAATTTATTTTTTCTGTTTGACTAAGATAAAAAGAAGATAGAAATAATGTAGAAAAGTTGAAGAAATCGGAAATAGGACAACTGACAGTCAACATTAAGAATGAACGGAGGCAACTGCTCTGAAATTGGATGTACCCTTGATTTGTAAATAGGAAGGAAATCCTAAGGACAATCAAAATAAGAAATTTTTCTTTGGTTTTTTTCTTGCTTTATCTATCCTTATCTGTCATGATATCACAGATTTATGTCCAGCCAGCTTATATATTTTCAAGCACTGACGGAAGATGGAACATAATTTCCACTCATTTCTTGCAAAAATATTGTTTTTATGTCAAAAAATGAACTTTGAGAGGAAAATTTTGAGAGATCATAGAATACAAAAACTCTTAGAATTGAAGATTATCAATTTACATCGATAATAATAATAATAATATTGAAGAGCTAAAAAATAAATAATATGTTTATTAGTGGAAAAAGCCAATCCCATCAATTTATCACTAATTATCAATCAATTTGGTTTGAGATAACTTTGAGTGTGTAACAAAGATGGTTGATAGCCAAAACTTGGCCATTAACCATCTTTGAATATAAAAAACTGAAAATTTGTTGCAATAGAAAAAGCTATAAAAAAAGAAAAATTAGTTATATTATAATAGAAATTATAAATTATAAAACACATTCATACAACAATCAAATCGAATAAAAAGGAATCATTTTTACTATTTTATCAACGAATATTTCTATGTTACCTTTCCAATTGTAAAATTATCCATAGATGTAACCTTTTATGACTGTCAGCATCTTCCTTCTACCGTTGCAATCAAAAAAAAACAAGATACAATTTTTAACTTGTAGTATATATCTTAACTGATATATTTAGAAATTCCTATCGAAGTATTATTTTATCTAACAATCAATCATCCTATAATATCTCTCTAAGTATTTCATAATGTTTTAAAGTATAATAAGCTTGCATTAAATATTTAATCAATTTATTTACTTATTACAAACTGATTTTATAATTTTTTTTTATTTCTTTGGATAATTTCATAAGGAAATTCTATCATATTATATTTGATTTTTTGCATTTCAGTTAAGATCTAATCTGTTAACTTTCCTTTTTAAACGACAAAATTGCTTTTCCTTAAATTAGACAAAAGTAATTTTTATTTATAGCATCCTCAAGTAATACAAATTAGTAATGAGAATAATGCCGAAAATCTCTCTCTTCCTCTCTCTCTCTCTCTACTACCTTCTAAATATTCTAAAGAGAATTTAATTTATTCATATTTGACA